AACTCAGGCGTGTTTGTAGGGTCAAAATATACCACCCCTAAAAATATTTAATATTTGCACTTGTTTAAGACTCACCCTGTATCATTTTATTAATAATACATACAGGGTGAAAATTATATTTTAATATTTAAGAAAAATATCAGGGTGATTCATTTGACTTTCACCATTTGAATAGCAATGTAATAAATATAAAGCAGCTCTAATTGGGTCAAAGTTGCGTCTCAATGAGCCCAACGTTAAATATGACAGAAAATTGAAATTCCCGTTTTTCGCACTTATATAATTTTTTATTAACAATTTGAGGAAATCTAAAAATTATTTTATAGCCTCATTCTGTGGTGACGTCAAACTTTACTTACACTGTTTCGTTTTTGGGACCTTCATCAACTTTATTGTCTTAAATCCGAACAAGGAATGCATATTTAATTTTTTACAATATTTTGACCTCCCAAATAAGTAATAAAAAGAAATATTAAGAGGCAATGTGTTTGAGAAAGATGCGTTGGAAAAAAAAAATGGCGCCGGGAGGCACGTATAGCCGCCCATATTAAAATATGTTAATAAAAAGTTGGTAGGCAGTTCTTTTAGTTTCAAAGTAAAGGAATTTTTCCAATTTTTTTTTATCTCAAAGACTGCGACTTGTTTGTCTGATTTTGATGTTATTACAAATTTTGTTGCAAATATTATTCCTAATCTTAAATTGAAAACCGCGTTTCGCTAGCTACTGTAATTTTGGAGTTACGTTTTTTAAAAATTTTAACCCCCTCCCATACCCCCCACCCCCACCAAAAACTAATGGCCAGATTCTCTGGTGCCACAGTATTTTTGTGCAAAATTTGGTTAAAATCGGTTTAGCGATTTTTGAGTTATCGTGTTACAGACGGACAGACAGACAGACGGACAGACGGACAGACAGACAGACAGACAGTTAAAACTGTTGCTAATACTTTTCTTACATTCCCCTGTAAACGATACATAATAAATAACAAAATCAAGTAAGCCTAGTGTAGCGCTTTTTTTATTAGAAATGTCACATTTTTGCTACTGGTATCAAGCTGATATAAACAGTTTTCAACTAACGCCAATTAATTACTTATTTTATTAAAATTGATAAAAACTGTTGCCTTTTCTGTAACGGATGTTCGAAAAGAAGGTAAAAAAACTGTTTTTCCTTTTTTGTACTAAATTATACCTAAGTAATATTAGTTTATGGCAATTTATTTGAAGGCAACAAAAATAGTATATTTACATTTTTGCTTGTCACTCTTTAAGACTTTTAACTACTTTCCCTTTCAAATCCTCTTAAACGGCATGATAATACTTGTTGCTTAAAATATATTGCATATAAATTAATTGCCACTGGCCGCCGCGAATTGCCGCCGGATCTTATACCGGGTGGTTAAAGATTGACTTTTTGTCTTCAAATAACAGTAACTTATTTTTTCCTCTTCGTGTCAACTTATTTCGTGGACACACTGTATATCAATTGACAATTAAATTGTATTTATAAAATGAAACAACTGTCTCTTTTATTTTTTCAACATTTAAAATAAATTTGACCTCTTCAATATGAAAAAAAAAAAAACGTACATATGTGCAAACATAATCTGTATATACCTTTCCGAATAGTTAGAACTTAAAATGCAAATCACACAAACTGGGTCCTTTTTTTTATATTACATTAAGTTTTTTATATACATTTATTTAGCGTTTGTTATCAATTTCTATTAAAAAAGGTGCAGTCAAGCTATATCTAGATATCTAACGGTTATGACCGCGCAGCTATTTAAGGGGAACCACTGTGCATCGGTCTCATTAAATTTGAGACGTCATAAACGTTTATAAAAGATATTACAAAATCCAAATACATTTTTAAAAAGATAAAGTTGATAATGGTTCCAGAAAAACAAAATTTAATAAGTTATTTTTTGCGATATAAAGGAGGAAGTTAAAAATATGAGAATGTTACTACAGATTTTTGCTAATTGTTAAAAAAAGCTCTAAAAAACGAATACCGACTGGTAATTTGATTCCTATTTGAGCCACTCTGTATATCTAACCATTTCCGAGATCTCACTGGTGTTTAAAAATAATAACTTTTTAATTTTTAATATTTCTCTTTCAGTTGTTAAGTACTCCACCAAATCCACCATAACAGTCATTGGCTCAACTTTCGTTTAGCTGAAATCTGTTATATAAAAAATGACTTTATATATGTGTTCTAGGAGGCGTTAGGAGTACAAATATACAAAAATTTTCCTGCGGAAATGCGTCATTTTCATTTTTCGGACTTTAGTATCGCCGAAATCTGTTACATCAAAACTAGTCTTCGGGGAGTGTTTTAGACATTTTTCTAAACATAAAAACACAAAAAATTGTCTGCGAAAATTTGTCAATGTCATTTTCTGCACTTTGTTTTTCATACATTTTTCAGTTTAGAAGCTTACGGGACCCGAAAGCGAATAGGGGTGCTGGGTGGGGTAAAACATCTTTCGGAAGAATAACAATTCTTATAGAATAGATAATATAGGTTCTTGTATACTATAAGTACCTCAGAATGTTGCACTTTTTCTTGTTTTTTAATTAAAGCTTTACGTAAATAGGGCTGATTCAAAACAAAAAATCATTGGATCATGTAGTTTTCTTTTATATTTTAATAATTAACTGTGATTTTGCAAAAATATTAGATTGGTGGATTTGGGTTGCTTTGGTTAGCTTTTCTTTGTGGAGGCTGTTAAGCTGTGGATTTATATTTTAATAATTAACTCTGATTTTGTAAAAATATTATTAGGTTTTTTATTAGATTGGTTAGCATTTTAGACACTTTTAAATGATTTTTTTGGTTCAAAAGTGCTTTATCCACGGATTTTTTTTCTTTTAAACTGTTCTATAAGCATTGGACTTTCCGAGGGACTCTCTGTCAAAAAAAAAGAATTTGCTAAATTCGTGGTTTGCTAAATATTTGGTAAATTCGTTTCTAACTTTACAAAACCCGATAATATAATAAGGAACGAATGGAAAATACAAATCAAGCATTTTCGCAGGAAATTTTTTATTTTCTAGTTTGTAAACGCTTCTAAAAGGCAAAAATATATTTATTTTTTATATAACTGATTTCAGCTATTCTAAAGTCTATTAAATTTCCTCAGAAAATGGATACAGTTTATTTCCGCAGGAAAATTTTTATTTTCCTCAATTAGTGAATGCTTCTAAAACGCAAATATACATTTATTTTTTATATAACTGATTTCAGCTATTCTAAAGTCTAATAAATTTCCTTAGAAAATGAATACAGCTTATTTCCGCAGGAAAATTTTTGTGTTTATATGTTCAGAAAAATATTAAAAATAAAACGCAAAATGTATTTTTTATAGCAGATTTCAGTTATTCTAAAGTGCAAAATTTGGAAATTGCGCATTTCCGCAGGAAAATTTGTGTTTTCCATGGTTCACAGCAGGGGGGTGACAGTGAAATAGGAAAATTGGAAACAGTCATTAGTGTCATTCCTGTCATTCTCCTCACGACAAGTATGGCCGCTTAGACAAGGACAGCATTGTTTTTGTCTAACTATTGTCTAACTTCACAGTTTAGAATTGACAGATTTCAGTTTCAGAGACAACTTCAGATTTGTTCTAGAACAAATTCGAAAATATTCGACGCCATTTTAATTCATTCCGTTTAGTTTCGTTTTGGAAGTTCAATTTAATATTTCGGCTGAAATTTATAAATATAAAGGTAATAAAGTATATAAAATATATATTACATGAAGAATCCTGGAGAAAATGATGTTTCTGCAGTAGTAGGTATGTCCCATGTATATGAAAAATAGGTAGTAAATAAACACTGTTTTTACATTTTTTAGATGCAAGAAAATGGTGTTATAATCTCTTTGATCGGCGATTTTTTTGAAAATGGAAACAATTTACAGCAAGGTAAGATCATTTTTAACTATAGCCAACATTAGTTATCTCCAGTATGTGCGATTTATTGTCAATAATGCAATAAATCGGACTGATAACCCGATTATGTTACCCGACTAAAAGTCTGTTTTTGCTTCTTTTTGATTTATAAGCCAAGTCTCTTTGGGAATAATGGACGCTTTTTTTAAACAGTATATTTATATTTTATACCTATTGATATTTTAACATTGTTAATTTTAGTATAAAAAAATTTGTTTTTCTGTTTTCAGGTTTTTGTATAAGGCTCCCGTTTTCATCTTCCTGTTTCCGTTTTCTGTCCTTGAAGTCTGCGAATACGTGTGTTTATTTACAAATTACTGTAAGTCAGGCTTATACCTTAACTAATTTACGTTAAAAGTGCATATAATTAACTAATTGGTATTGAAACAATACAATCCTCTATATTTTTATATTTATTTAGTCACGTTGTTCCATATTTCAAATAAATATATGTGAATAAATTATTTTTTGGTTTTATTTATGAAAAGAAAAAATACAAAATACATTTGAACTGAAAGAGGGCCCGCCATTGAATAACCGGAAACGGAAATGAAAATTAAGCCATTATGTCCTTATCATGTCAACCTGTCAATTGACATATTAGTTCTCCAGACGACAACGAACGCTTTCGGTGGCGTATCGTGTTTCCACGATTTAACACAGAGTTGACACTTCTTTCTAGTTAATTATTTTATGGTTCACAGTAGCTTTTTAAAGACAAAAATTTATAGTTTTTTCTAATGACTGATTTCAGCTAAACGAAAGTTGACCCCAGACATTATTATTATACTATTTGATGGTAAAAATAAATTGAATGAAGTGAACTTTTTATTCAACAAAATTTATATTAGACAAAGAAATAAAATAAAATTAAGTATGAAACATGTTAACAAATAACTTAAAAAATAACTGTAGTTTAATTAATGGATAATCTATATATAAGAATTAATTATGCTGGGAAAATAAGCAGTGACATTAACAAAATTAATGCTGCTGTTTTATATAAAACCACCTTAGTATAAATCCACTTTAGTATTTTACCTGCAACTAAACTTCTGGCTTCCTCTCTGGGCAATCTAATTTTCAATGATCGACTAGCTAAGAACCTTGCACTTCTTTCTACAATATCTTCACTACTCCTAGTTTGTTCTTCATCAGGTAATGTATCTTTTTCCAAAGTAACTAGACCTCCGATAACTGGAATTGAGGGTGTGTCTTCTAATTTTTCTAAATAACCTGATATTTGCATTTCACCACATGATATACTGTCAGAGCAAGGGGTTGAGGTATCACAACTCACTAGAGTTACATAGCAAAGAAATAAATAAATAAGGAATTTACTCATTTTGAATGTAATGGTATCAGTGATAAAATTTAATGGGAAAATAACATTAGTTTTTTTCAAAAGTATTCTTTTATATTCTGGTAAGTTCTTTTGTGTTCTAAGAGGGGCAGATGGAGGGTCAGACATGCATGTGAAACAAATTCCATTTTGGCACGTGCTTAGCAAAATAAGAAGCGCGAAAATCAAATGATTAAGTATTCAGCTGAGGCTAATTTATTCTTTTAATGTATCAATCAAAACATTGTCTGGATAATTTTACTGTATCGATTTCTACAATACTTCTTATTTTTTGCGGATTCATTTCTTAAAAATAAATGAACGATGTAATGATGTTAAACAAAAATATGTTTTTAATTTTGTAGATTTTCCTCCTAGTGGTGAAAAACCCAGAAGTCTTATCTAGAGATCTTTTATTTTGTCATAAATATGTTGAGACAATTTATTTAATTATTGCAGTCTAAATTCTAGAGAAAAGCACAAACATATATTTTTTTAATATCAATATCAAATGAAATGAAAGTTGCAGGAAAATAGTACTAAAAATCATAAAAATACAGTTATTTTGAACCACTTTAGAATTCTATTTTTTTTTATCGTCTTCAAACACTGCTTTTAAATTATTATATTATACGCTTTGTCCTCGGAATATCTTTACAAGAGTATCTTCTATATTTTTTATTTACAAAAATACTTTCGTCATAAAAATTTTTCCTTGTTTTAAAATGGATAATCCCGTTTATATTTTTCCAAATGTCCATACCGTTTGAGATAAAAAAAATAAAAATATGTCTGAAGTTTCTTAAGCCGTAAAAATCAAAAAGCGTTTTCTAGTTATATCATTTAGATTTTATTCCAAAGAATAAAAACTGAATGCCTCTATCAAAATAGACGAGTTAGTATTATTTTGATTAAGGTCCTTGCTATTTTTAACTCTTTTTGTTAAAGAAGCACAAACATTTATAATCATCTTTTCCATGTGCTTTTTTAACAATTTGACACAGCAAAAATGTGAGGTTAATTAAAGAACGAAAGCGAAATTATATTAGCATAGAAATATAATTTTAGGACTTTTGCTTTTTTATGAAGAATTGATTTTTCTCAAAATGTCAATAATAAAAGAAATTCTCTTGTAAAGACAATCCCAAGACATACTCTATAATGAATATAATTAATATTTAAGGATCAATCTAATGACGAAAGAAATATTGGATCTTGCACTGTCCAATATTTCGTTCCAAACGTAACGTCGCCATCTGTTGGAAAGACGTAATATTAAGAACATGAAGAAAGAGCGAAAGGCCAGAAATCTTCTTCTCGGATCCTTAGAACATGGTGCAAGGTGCGCGGTACAGGTAGTGAAAGCAGAAATAACCGAGATGTCGCTATGCTTACGAATGATGAGTGCCATCTGTTAATCATACAAATCAAAGAATGTATTAGAAGCCATATATTGTTCATATAATTTATTTCTTTATAGACTGCTATCGGAATATTCAATCAAGTTGCTTCCATTCCAGCATACAACATAAAGTTGTCAATACAGAATATCTATTAAAAAACCCTCAAAATTCAAGAGAGAATGCAGTCAATAGTCACCACATAGGCTAATAAAACTACTTTTTCAAATTTGTCAAGCGTTCAAAAATTTGACTGAGTCAATTAGCAAAAAAATATTCTCTGCCCAAAAAGGTCTTAAAAACTAGCATCATAAGACATTGGAATACAAGTACATTTCCTTTATAAAATATTAAAATACATATCCAACGACATTACTTTTCTTTTAAACACAAAACAAAAAAGATTTTTTTTAATTTACTAAACTAATTTCTCCATTGTTGTTTCGAGCTCGATCAAACAGTGACTCCAAAGTTTTATTAGCCTATGTGGTGATTATTGACTGCATCCTCACTTAAATTTTGAGTTTTTTTCTTAACTTAGTCAGTCACGACTTTTATTTTTGAATATCTATTTATATAAGATATTAAACAAAGTTATATATTCGTTTTATTTTTTGCTAAGTAATTACTTTAAAATCTTTATGGTTTAATTTTTTGTCTTTAGTATCCACTAATTAAGATTTTAATAGGATAACCACAATAAAATAAATTAAAAAATCACACAACATATAAGGGTTTCTCGTCCATTCACCTGTTGGGATTTTTTTTAACTAACTAAGCTATTTTATTTGATTAATTAATTTAATTAATTTATTTGATTTCGATCTTTGAATAAGAAGACTAAGGAAGGAGCATAATGCTATCCATGTATTCATGCATGGTGGGCGGAAAAAGCACTCTAGGGTGGGGATCCTTGACAGTTCTTTTTGACGATTCATTTGACACATTTGAATTTGATTTGAAATTTTGTGGATTTGTCAGTCTTTACGGAGCTTATTTTATGTTATTTATTCTACTACTGATAGTTGTATAAAGGTAGTAAATCTAGATGGAAATTGTGGCAGATCTCGGCAAAAGTTGAGTGAAATAATGGAACAACTTTTCGTTAGTAAGTAACTATATAATATATATACGTGTAGTAAACCGATCATTTATGAAATTCACTTAAATTAACTAAATTATATATTTCTCTTGCATTTTAGCTTTTATTTACTATTTGTCAAAGATCAGATGTCAAAGAATTTTGATACGTTAATTTGACTTACCTGCTTCAGAAGCGTATCGGATGTTTCTGTTAATAAATACTTATTATAACTTATCTATTTTTATTAGAATTATATATTTTTATAACAATTTTAATAACTACCAACATTTATTCACAATGTAAAATAAAATAACAAATTATTGAGTCTACCCCACGTCTACCATACATCATAGTTTTACATTTTTTAAATAAAATTAGAACGGCACTGATAAACCAGAATTTAAGTCGGCCATATTTGAGGCCCATCGCGGTGTACCTAAGATTTTTGATATGCTCCTTCCTTAGTCTTCTTATTCAAAGGTTCCGATGTAATAACTCACTTTTTAAATGTTTTAAAAGTCTGCTTATAATATCTGTGTAATTTAATTTGCAATTTTTATTGGTAATCAAAGAGTACCAAACACTTAATTTTTATTAAAAGATTGAAATAGCTGTATCATCAAGTCTTATCATACAAATTAATTATCAGTATTTTTTATTATATCATAGTAAATTAATGAATTGTTGAAGCAATGTTGAAGCTGCGGTTCAAGCAGAAAGAGCAAAAATAAAGCTACTAAAAAACGCTACTAAAATCAAAATTATTGATGGTGATTTGTAAACAAAATTAAACAATTAGCGATTCATTCATCTATCTCAACAAATCGTCCTACAATCCAATTTCTTCAAACATTAAATACGTAACAAAAAATGTAAATTGAGCATTATTTTTTAAAACTTACACTGTATTATTTTTATTTCAAAGTGTCGCCATCTGATGTGAGCTAGCCATATTAAACAACCGAAGAAAAACCAGAAAACCGCAATGTATTGTGTACTCTAACTAGCAGAAGAAGTGGAACTAACGTGATAGATGCCGCCATTAATCGACAAAAATAACAGTTATAGAACACAACGGAACAAAAAATTCAATGCTCTGTATTTACATACATTATTTTTATTTTTTTTTGTAAAAATAAAACACTTCCCCGAAATTTGTTTCCCAATTGTTTAATCTAATAATTATTTTATATTCTTATGAATGGTTATTTATAGTACTATTAATATTTAGTGTAATTTTTTCAACAATATTTACAATCATCAGTGTCAATTTTTTAACCAAACCAAACTAGCTCAAATCGAAACATTTAAATTTAGAGCAACAAATGTAAAGGTTTCTCGTCCATTCGGCTGTTGATGTCTCTGTGCTTAATATGCTTGTTTGTTATTTCTTGCTAGCTCCGGTGGTTAATCATCGTTACACTTATAATAATAGTATTATTCTCTAAAAAAAAGCTTAATTTATTTTGTATTTTTTTTTAATTATTTAATATATAAATATTAACCACACTTTATTTTCAAAAAAGTTTTAACTAGGTATAAGAGAGTTATGATGTAATGTATATATTTAAATCATTCATATAGTTAAAGTAAAAGCAAGAAAAACGCTACTACTGCCAAAAATTCTACACTCTTTAAATAATTGATACAGTAGTGATCTGTGTATATTGGTTGTTTGTTATTTAATATTTTGCGTGCACTAACATAATTTATGTATTTATACTAGTATTAATCGTGTATACTCTATTTCCTTCAAATAAAAATATTGTACTCGTATAATGAAGTAATTATATTATAATCTGGAGAATTATTTTCATACTGCCTGATTTTTCTTGTGGCCGTTACAGGTTGTAAATTAGGCACACTAAACAATTAAGTTATTTAATTAACTCGATAAGTAGTTACAAAGTAAATCACTATTACAAAATATGAGAATTCGGTTTTTTAGCGCGAAAATGTGTGTGTCGAAGGTCGAATATATCCACAGACTTCTTTTTTCTCTTCCTCGATTGACAGACATCAGCTGGTCGACCATTGAGGGTTGCTACTTTCCTGCCGTGGAGTAAACTAATCTGTGGCGGGCTGTCAGAAGGCATACTGTTAGAACGCCCACAGTACTCCCCGGATAAAGTTCATAGGAAAATTGAACTTGCTTACGAGCTCGGGGTCCCATATAGGTACGTAGTGGCGGTTGAGGTCCTGGATCGTGAGCGGGGTCGTCTTCTGTCTTGAGCAGAAAAGCTGGTTTAAGCCTCTCTAACGAAACTGTCTGTTGCTTGTCTCCAACTTGAATGGAAAAGTTTCTGTCGGTCCTTGACAAAACTTGGTAAGGGCCATTGTAAGGTGGTTGAAGAGGAGTCCGGACAGAGTCATCTCGTATGAAGACATGACTGGAGGTAAATAGGTCTTTGTGAATGAAGACTGACTTCTTGACATGATGACTTGCTGGAACTGGCTGAATTTTCCTGATCTCCTCACGGAAGTGTTGTAGAAAAGTGTCTGGTTCTGGAGGCATATCCTCATTGAAGAAATATTCTCCAGGAAGTCGGAGGGTGCAACCAAAAAGAAATTCAGCAGCTGAAGCCTTGAGGTCCTCTTTGTGGCAGGTTCTGAGGCCTAGTAGAATTGTTGGAAGGATATTTACCCAGTCAGCAGTTTGATGACACTTGATGGCTGCCTTGAATGAGCGATGCCAGCGCTCCACAAGTCCATTAGCTTGTGGGTGATAAGCAGTTGTGCGTATCCGTTTGGTTCCCAGTAAGTTTGTTAAAGCCTTGAAGAGAGTACTTTCAAACTGGCGGCCTTGATCGGTAGTGACGATTTTGGGAGAACCATATCGTGAAACCCACACTGAGTAGAACGTCTTGGCGATGGTGTCAGCCGTCTGGTCTTTAATTGGAACTGCTTCTGGCCAACGAGAAAACCTGTCGATCATGGTTAGACAATATTGGTAGCCTTGAGATGGTGGAAGCGGTCCAACAATGTCTATGTGAACGTGTTGAAATCTCTGGTCAGTCAAAGGAAAATTCAAAGGTGTTAGTTTATTGTGACGATGGATCTTCGATTTTTGGCAAGGTATGCATGTTTTGCACCAGTAGACAATATCTCTGTGCATGGAGGTCCAGACGAATTTTCCTCTGATTTGCTGCTTTGACGAACGGGCACTGGGATGAGAAAGTTTATGGACCATATCAAAAACTCTTCTCCTTAAAGTTTTCGGAACGAAGGGCCTGATTGTGTTGGTTGAAGTGTCACAGATGATGGTTTGGTTTGAATCCAGGGAGAATGCTTGCAGATTCAGTCCTGTTGTTACGTCTCCAGATAGAAGAGACTGTAGATCTTCATCCCTCTTTCTGTTGCTCAGCAATTTCCTCAGTTGACACAGAAATTGGCATGGTGATTGTATCTAAACGGGAAAGAGCATCAGCAGCAACATTCTGTTCACCTGGTATGTACTGAATGTTGGTACTGAACTGAGAAATGAAGTCCAATTGTCGAATTTGGCGTGGTGATGCTTTTTGAGGCTTCTGATTGAAAGCGTGAGTGAGGGGACGATGATCAGTTCTGATGACAAAAATCCTGCATTCCAACATGTGACGGAAATGCTTGATTTATTCGTAGATGGCAAGAAGTTCCCTGTCATATGTAGAGTAGTTCTTCTCAGTAGGCGAAAGTTTCTTAGAGAAAAATCCAAGAGGATACTGATGACCATCAATCATTTGCTCTAGTGTGGAACCAATGGCAAGATCAGAAGCATCACAAGTTAGTATGAGTGCAGCATTCTCTTTGGGATGTGCCAACAGTGCTGCGTTACTGATGTCGTTGATGCAACTATAAAATGCTTCGTCTGATTCAAGAGTCCATGCAATTGGAGTCTTGTCGTTCTTCTTGCTGTCATGAAGATACTCATTTAGAAGTGCTTGATTCCGTGCCGCGTTTTTGATGAACCTTCGATAAAAATTGACCATGCCCAAAAATCTTCTTAGTTCGACAACTGTCTGAGGTTTTTGTAGGACTTGATTGCTTCAATTTTGGACTGAAGAGGCTTGGTTCCCTGTGACGAAATTTCGTAACCCAAGTACTGTACTTGTGACATTCCAAAAGTGCATTTCGAAGGATTAATTTTGAGTCCATAATCTTGAAATCTCTTGAAAATCAGGCCAAGATGGTGAAGGTGCTGCTGTTCGTTGTCCGAGGCAATAAGGACGTCGTCGATGTAACTGTAGCAAAAGTCAAAATCTCTAAGTATGTGATCAATAAACCTCTGAAATGTTTGTGCTGCATTTCTAAGACCAAAAGTCATTACAGGAAATTCAAACAGTCCAAAGGGGGTGATGACAGCTGTTTTTGGATATCTTCTTCAGCTACGGGTATCTGATGATATGCTCTGGCCAGATCAAGGGTCGAAAAAATTGTTTTCCATGAAGTTTGTACGAAAAGTCTTCAATGTGGGCAATTGGATAGCTGTCTGGAATGGTTTTTGAGTTGAGGCGGCGATAATCTCCGCAAACACGCCATTCACCTGTCTTTTGGGCACGAGATGTAAGGGACTAGCCCAAAGGGCTGTCTGAGGGTCGACAAATGCCTTGCGACATCATGTATGCAAACTCTGCCTTCGCAATTTTGAATTTCTCAGGTGGTAATCTTCTGGGTCGATCTGCCACCGGAGGTCCGTTGGTAACAATATGGTGGAAAACTGATCCTGACTTGCTGTGGAGACTATTGAGGGATTTGTAATTTCCGGAAACTTTTGAAGTAAAAGGTGAAATTTTGATGTTTTTGACACTATGGTGACTGCAGGTTCAGAGCAGGGTAGAAAACGTCCAGGAACATGAAGATTTGTTATGGAATCAGAAATTTTTCGATTTTTGAGGTCCACGACAAGGCCAAAATAAGCTAGAAGGTCTGCTCCAATGATAGGACGTGGAACATTGGCAATGATGAATTTCCAGGTAATTGGGCGTCTTAGGCCGAAGTTTAAAGTAAGAATTTTGTACCCAAAAGTTTCTATAATTGAGCCATTTGCAGCATGTAATGGAAAATCAATATTGATAGTGTTGTTCTTACCAAAACTTTTAGGAAGAACGCTGATGTCGGCGCCAGTGTCCACTAGAAAGTTGGCTCCAGTTGCTTTGTCCTTGATGAAGAGGCGGTATTGCTTTGTTACACCTGTGTTGGCTGCCTCCTCTATCTCCAACGGTGCGTCTAGTTTTTTGGTTGGTTGAAACTGCAGGGTGTGTTGCACTTTTTTGCCTTGTTTCCAAATTGGTTGTGGTAGAAACAATACTCCTTGTTGTCAGTAAGAGCTGTTCCTCTGCTTGAACTCCTAAGTCGAGATCTGCTACGATTTCTGAGTAGGTTATCAAGCTTTTCTGACATTTCAGACACTTGCTGTGATAGCTGGGAAATTTGACCTTCACATCCACATAGATTTTGTTTGGGCTTACTGGATACCTCAGCGATGAAAGCTGGAGAATTTGATGTGACTTCGATGACTTTGTCGGCTATTTCAGACATTTTTGTCAGATCTAGCCCTGCTGACGCTGACAGGACTACTTGGATATTGGTAGGAAGTCTTTGTAGCCATAAAGTTTGTAGAATGGTGTCACTGACGAAATTTTTGGCCAAAACTCGCATTTCCCTGAGTAATTGTGATGGTTTCTTGTCATTTAACTCAATTTCGCTGAGTAGCTTTTTGATTTGTCGCTCTTGAGAGTCGCTGCATCGATCAATGAGGGTCGTTTTAAGCGATTCATATTTGTTGTTTTCCGGAGGATTAGCAATTAGATCTGATACATGTTGGAGGGTATCGATGTCCAAGACAGAAATTACATGGAAATATTTGAGCTGATCAGATCTGAGGCGGAAAGTTGCGAATTGAGCGTCCACTTGTGCAAACCAAAGGTTGGGATTCGCTTTCCAGAAAGGAGGCAGTCGGATATTCCTTACCTCGTTCACTTCATCGATGGATTGTTGTGTCTGGGATTGTTGTAGTGTTCCTGGAGCCGAATTATCATTGTTTGAGGCGGAGGCCGAATCCGTTCCATTAGAGTCAGAGTTGTGCATGATGCAGGTGATGTACGTTCTGAATTGGACACTTGAAACTTTGAAACTAACGAGTCTGTACACACGCGAACTGCGGCGAACTACACGATCACGTCAGGGTCACCAATGTGGCCGTTACAGGTTGTAAATTAGGCACACTAAACAATTAAGTTATTTAATTAACTCGATAAGTAGTTACAAAGTAAATCACTATTACAAAATATGAGAATTCGGTTTTTTAGCGCGAAAATGTGTGTGTCGAAGGTCGAATATATCCACAGACTTCTTTTTTCTCTTCCTCGATTGACAGACATCAGCTGGTCGACCATTGAGGGTTGCTACTTTCCTGCCGTGGAGTAAACTAATCTGTGGCGGGCTGTCAGAAGGCATACTGTTAGAACGCCCACATTCTTTTGTCCACTGTCGCCATCTGTTATTACCAGGACATATTAAACGCACGAATACAATTTCAAGAAATCTCTAATCCTTAAACCATTACACACTCTGCTGCGTTACAAGAAGTGAAATCAAAGATTACAAAGATGTCGCTACTTATTGAAAGACAACTAAAAAAGTTTACTAGAATGTTTTAAATAAAAGAAAACTGAATAAGAGTATCCTAGAATATTTGAGCAAGTTGCTTATACTTACCTATAAAAGATGATGCTTTTAATATAGAAACTATGATATTTTACTTTTTGTATTGCAGTTATTTCGCTTCGGATTATCGTAAAGAAATAGTATCAGATCTCGTAAACCCGATGAGATTCAAAGGTGACTAAAATAGAGAAGAATTGGCGTTTTGTTCAACACTGTAATGGCCACATTTCAAAATATAAAAAAATATTTGATAAAATTTATGAACCAAACTTTCTTGATTTAATTTTAATTTTTCTCTGATATTTTGTATGAAAAAAGATATGACAATACAAATTTAACTTTGTAAAATTTATAAACCAAATTTTCTTGATTTAATTTTAATTTTTCTCTGATATTTTGTATGAAAAAAGATATGACAATACAAATTTAACTTACACAATATAATATGACAATACATAATTTAATTTTTGCTCAATTTTTTAAAAGCTCATGAGACCTCCCAGATAAAATTATATCGGGTATATCGGGTTCGGTAGGGGAGATCGGGGCAAGTTAGCGAGGTAAAATACAAAAGGCTCCAAAATATGAACAAACGGGTTTAAAAAAAAAAGATCCCATTTCATCTGTTAGTACATTTATTCAGGTACATAATAAAATATAAAAAACAAAATAAAAGTGTACTCTTGAAAAAATATAAAGAAAAAAACAAGAAAATGCATTTAGGTCAACTTGCCCCAGTACCGGGGCAAGACGACGAGCCTATAGGGGCAAGATGACGATTATAAGCAGGTATATGTGCCATCTTTTTCATAGACTGTGCACGACTCGTGCCACCAACTCTCGCACGTGTTACATTGAATCGAGTCTTCTGTAGGAGGCTCAATATAGGATTCCTGGAAGCCAGGACAAAAAATGACATTAGTTTTCTTCTTCTTTCCTACCTGCTTGTCACGATTTTCTTGAAATACACTTCTTTTGACTTTCACAGAATCAACCTTCCTTCTTTTAATTTATTTTAAGTTTTTTTCATTGTTTTTCCTTCCCTGTTGGGTGTTGAGATAATGAGAGAAGCCCTTAATTTAATTCTTTTGGTAGTTTTTATGGGACGTGTATTTTGGGAAAGGGCCTCATTTCAAGTAGCGTAACTCGACTATCAACATTAGAGATTGTTTGAATGGAGCTGGATGAACTTATAGTACCAAAGGCTTGTGCTTCATTGTTTTTTGCAGATTTTTTTTTGCTGTAGGCGTTTATTGATTTGGAGAAAGCGTACGATTCTATTCCTCGCAACAAGATATGAGAAGCCTTGAATATTTTAGAAGTAGATAGACCCCTACTTAAGATAATAAAAGAGCTCTATAAAGAAAATAAAGCGTACGTTAAGATAGGACACAAGCTATCCAATCCAATAAATACCACAAAAGGGTTGCGACAAGGATGCAGTTTATCACCTCTAATCTTCAATGCTTACGTTGAAGTAGCCCTTAGGGAATGGAAGAGGAGATGCCAAAGCATGGGAATACCCATTGGGGAAAATACACTGTTTACTCTGAGCTTTGCAGACGATCAGGTCGTCATTGCGCAGGACTCTTTCGATCTGGAGTTCATGACTAAGAGGCTTTACCAAGAATATAACAAATGGGGACTTCAGGTTAGTCTAAAAAAGACAGAATACTTAGCTGTCAATTCCAACGCTTGTTTTGAAGTCTTCATAGATGATAACGTCCAGATTCAATAAGTAGACAAATTTAAATACCTGGATGCTACTATCAACAACGAGGGTTTGGGCAAAGAAGAAATACAAACCCGAATTCAGAAGAGCAAACAAGTTATTGGTTGTCTTAGTAGCCTCTGGTGGGACCGAAACTTGTCTGCAACAACTAAAAAGAGACTTGGACGAACATTGGTGGAGTCAGTTCTTTGCTATGGTTCAGAGCTATGGACTTTGAGTGCAGATACGAAGCGCAAAATCCAAGTTGTTGAAATGGACTATCTTAGAAAGAGCGCAGGTATATCTAGGACGGAAAAAAAGACAAACATCGAGGTCAGGCGTATCATGAATGCATCGGAGGAGACAGTGCTAGATCGAATTGAAAAATCCAGCTTAAAGTGGTTTGGACATGTTCTACGTATGCCGGAGAACAGGTGGTCAAGGAAAGTTTTTCAATGGACTCCCCAGGGTAGATGAAAGAGAGGCAGACCTAGAAAATCCTGGAACGGAACGGTTAAGGAAGCAATGGAAGCTCGTAACCTAGAAGCTGATGACGCACTAAATCGAGACGTGTGGCGTAGGGTAACTGGAAGGCAGCAATAGGCTATAGTTGGAAAAAAGTATCAAATACTTATACCAAATCCCGTTTATATATATATTTTTGCTGTAGGCCTGAAGATCCAGGAAGGGACAAATTCATTGACATTGCCGGATGATTTTTTTTTGGAAAGCAATGGGAGTTCAGCATCTGGTGTTTCATAGTTTTTATTCTTTGCAAAATCCATTTTATTCAATCCTGAGGGCCCTGGGAGAATTAAATTAACAAGCTTTTCTGGCGAAAACCGCTGGTGGTTTACCATCTTGTATTTCATTGTTTTTCGTTTTGGCTGGATCAATTCTGTTTGAGCCTGAAGACTCAGGAACTGCTAGTGGTTCATCGTCACTGCTTAAGAACTCTTCTTCCGGTGCCTCTCACTCACCATAGAAGGGGCAAAATCGGCATCTCCAAAGATTTCAGCATTACAAGACTCGATACCGCAAGCGGGAAAACTTTTTATGGCTGTTCCCACAGTTACAGCTCTTAGATAAGCTTGCCCGAACAACTGACCAACTAATATAGTATATATATATATACAATATATAGTATATATAATATATATATATATATATATATATATATATATATATATATATATATATATATATATATATATATATATATATAAATCCGTCATGCGTCATCTCTTGTTGTTTTTAACCAGTTTTATTGGTTTATTTCAAAAACGATACATCATATTTCAATATTATTGGTTTAACAGAACGATGAACGACAAACGGACGCCGATGCATATGAACTCAACTTAAGATTTTTGAGAGTTGTCAAACTCTTGCCAAATTATAGGTTATAATTTTGTGTCAAATAGAAATAATAAATATTTTACATTTTGGACTGTGTTGTGACGTGTGTTTCGTGTTTTTTTTTTAATTAAGGGGAGGAAGACTCAAAGGGGAAATTAAGTCAACACTGTAATGTGGTGTGAAAAAATTCTCTCTCATATAAATATATTTCCTGAAATGGCTTAATTTCGGAGATAGAGGGTGTAGAAGTTTCATTTTTATTTCGTTTTTTTCGAAATAATTTCTGAAGTAACTTCAATATATGGATGAAAATTGGTGTCTGATAGTATTTTGACATGAGAAATTTGATTTTAGTGTCAATATGACTTCTACTTTTAGAGGTCGCCACCTACATATTTTGTAACTGGTTTAAAATGTAATCATTTTTCGTACGTACCTGTATAAAAATTCTGAGTAAAAAAATTTACGACGTTTTTTACGTGTAAAAAATGTTTCTAGGTAAAAATCGCTACGAGTAATAGTTCTCGAGATATTTGGAATCTAAATTATCAATACCTGTCATCATTGACATAAACATGTTGATTAAATAGTTATTAGGCTGAAATCATAAATTTGAAATGTTTTTGAGCCAAAAGGTCAACAGAAACTGGTTTATCATAATTTTTTAGAAGAAAAAATTATGATTAGTTTAAAAAAACAAAAGTTCCCAAATTTATCATTTCAGTCAAATAACTATCTACTCAACATATTTATTTTTTATCAATAATGACTATTATTATGATATTGACTATTTCCATTCAGTTTTATACAGGTACGGACGAAAAGTTATTATTCTTCAACCCAGTTAAAAAATATGTATGTGGCGTCTTCTACAAGTAGGAGTCATATTGAAAACAAAATCAAATTTGTCATATCTAAAAACTCCTAGACACCAATTTTTATCCAAATATTGATATTACTTCAGAAATTATTTGGAAAAATCGAAATAAAAATGAAAATTCTACACCCTGTATCTCCGAAACTAAGCATTATAGGACATTTATACGAACTTTTTTATTTATTTTTATTCGCAGAATATGCTGTCAAAGTTTCCGGAATACAGTTCAGGCAACTCTGTATACAAAATATTATTGCTTCAATTAATAACTGTACACTTGTAAGATCCATCTATTGTCAAATAACAAGAAAGCATAAACAGTACAACCGATAAAAAGAAATTTCAATAAGATCGACTCAAATTGCTTAAAGAGAACATTATAATTTCTCATTGTATTCAGCCATTATCCTACTGAACTAAAATACAATAGAAATTAGATTCCCTGTAATAGATTATAGTTGCAAATGAGATACC